TTAAGGTTATCTGCAACCTCACCACTAGATGCCATTAAATCCTATACACTTGATCTTTAATCATGACAAGGCATAATAGTGTCCTTATAATTGCACCTGTTCTTTTCCTTGGACATTCTTTATTTTGAATGAAAAAAACAACACAGTTGCTTTTTAAATTTATAGTGTAAAAAAAAAAAAAAAGATTTTATTGAAATTTGACAATAATATGAACCTCACTCTTCCTTTAATCTGAGACTCTTTCCACTCATTCCCACAGAATGCCAAGTTCCAGGTGCTGACCTGGAGATCAACCCCACGCTGGAGTCACTGTGCCTCAGTATGACAGAGCATGCCTTAGGGGGTAAGTGTCCTCAGCAGCTCAGTACTAAATAGGCCACTGGCTGGCAAACCTCACACTAAACTACCAACTAGACAAAAACACCTTCTTACAATTAGGTCATGACAGAAAGGATTTAGTGAACAGTTTGTGTCCATCAGGGATAACAATATTTTTCACACACAACTTCTGCCACGCAATAGAGACAAAAAAAGTCTGATGACTTTTATCATTCATATTTAATTAGTTATGTTGTGTATTAATTTTTCATAGCATCTGAATTATACAATATCATTAGTCAAGTCACAGTCTGGGTCCTATTGTGGAGAGAGAATGACACATACTCACCTCTGTGCATCATATGGTGTACTTGAATGACAAAATTTGCATGATCGTGTCAAAGAAGATTAAGGGACGGTAGCTCTGTATTATTTTACTCTGTGAATGACGTAGAAAGGTATCCCTGCTGCATGAACACTTCATTGTGAGTTTGATAGGATTGTATCTGTGTGAACAATCTGAAATTCATGTTGACTACGTTTACATGCACAGAATATTCCGTTTTTTGCCCTTATTCCTAAAAGACAATATTCCTACCAGGCTGTTTACATGGTGACAAAGTGACTATTGGACTAATATTCCCATATACATGCAGCCATGCATAGTCAGATTAATGTGCCCATGCATATTGTTTATCATGCCAAAATATGGAAAAGTAGGACCACAGGAGCTGCTTGTGCCACTTTGCCTCTTTGTGTCAAAACAGAAGTCTTCCCTCTTTTACTCATTCAACAGCCCTTTTTGAAAAGGTCAGTGATGCGACATTAGCAAATATCTGAAAACCTATTCATGTCCAAGTCTTTCCTAATGTTTAAAAGCAGGTGTGTTTCTCTTCCCAACCAGAAATGTGGGCTTTTAATTTGAACATACATCTCTACCCCAGCTTTGCAAACTGCTGGTTAGTTTGTTGTGTAGAGGGCATCTATGACATCGTACAGAGCAGACAGTAAACAGCAAATGGCAGTAAAATCTTAAATTGAGACACATGTTCCCAATGCGCTGTATACATGTCCAAAGAAAAATCCTAAAACCTGAATAATCTCAGCATATCCCATGTCTTCATCAGAAAATACTGCATTCAGAAAAAGGCCTAATTCAGAAAATCCAACTGAAATATGTTCACATTAATGGCATCAAATTTAGAATATTGCAATATGTTGATTTATAGTGGAATATTAATGTGCAAGTAAACGTAGTTACTTTGGCTTACTTTCTGGATGTCAAAGATCAAATAGCAGGGACATATACACTGGAATTTATTCACGACTGTTGAAACAAATGAGATGTTACACATTCAGTTTTATACTATTTACAAAGCAATTCCCCAATGTATAAAAGGAGCTGCTTTTATCTAGAAACAGATCTAATAAATACAAGAAATGCAAACATCAGTGGATGACATATAATAAAAATGCATGCGATGAATGTAAAAAAATTCATGGACACATAAAAAGGCATCAATGACTTAATCTGCTCCTGGGAGAAAATGGAGAAAAGGGAGTAGAGCTGTCTGAAAGTTAACTACTCTTATCAGATTAAATGTAAATGGTATGGTATTTTTTATGATTGTAAATGTCTTCAAACATTTATATTTCCAATCTCCTCCTCAGATGGAACAGACCGGACATCGACAATATGAAAAAGAAGAAAGGAAAACTACACGTCAGTTGAGGCCTGCTCAGTTCCTCATCACCCAGCACAAAGATATACGTATGCTTAAGAAAACCAGGCAAAGCAGTCACTACAAAATGACAAAAAAACTGTGTATATGTTCTCTAATATTTTTGTACTTTATTATATACAACTAAGTTTATTAAAAATGGAATACAGATGATTATTATATTGCAGGACAGAGGAAAAAAAAAGCTAACTGCTCCATGTCACCTGCAGGACTGTGACATGATGTGCAGTGGCTCAGTTTGCCGTGGTCTGAGAGAAAAACGGTGGATTGGTGCTGTCTTAAAGGGGTTCTGCCCTATGAGTTACTCTTCTTTTTCTCCTGCCTTGGAGCAAGGCTTCTTACCAGAACACACTGACAGCCACAGCCCCTGCACCAGTTAATGTGTAGATTCAGAAAATGTCCAGCCAGGAGAAAGGCACTTTCATTAAATGATCTTTGATATTAGCTACTAAAGTGTAATTGGCTCTAGGATACACTCACTGAGGTTCCACTTATTGACAGGTATTGATACACGGATACCAATACGCTTCCTAGCCCGACTAATTGTTATATAACCAGTGCTAGTGACGACTGGTGTTGGTTGAAATTTAAACAGCTTTCCTTGGTTCTTTTTTTTCCTCTCCAGAGGACATGATTTTGAGGCAAAGGCAAGAAAGGGAGGACCAAAAGGATTGAGGAAAAGCTTGTAACTCAACCACGGGCATACCCTTTGGTTGTTTTCCCCAAACACACAGTCAAAGCAGAAGCGACTGTCCTCCTCTAAATGTACAAAGCCAAAGAGAAGAGTTGTGCGATTGTGTTAATCTGAGAAGGATATTTGTAGTGAAATGCAAGAGAATGGTATAATTTTTTTTAAAAAAAGAACAGCAGTCCGAATAATTTATGCCAGCTGCAATTTGTCTCTGTTATTTTATGCCCTACTACATAAATGATGATGAATCTCATTTTGTGCCGAGGAATCCCCACAGGGGTGAATAAGGGCTGGTGAGAGCTGATTTGATATTGAATTGATAAAAGCGAGGAGGGTAGAGTGTTTTCAATTTACACTCTAATGCTGGCTGAGAAAACTAAATGAAACCCATCTCAACCCCCTGGCCTTCTTATGATTGGCTCTGGAAAATGAAGCTTGTTCATGTAATAAATGCTCCAGAGCGCAGCGCCTCACCCTCGCAGTGCCCTCTTCCTCAAACGGCCAATGTGATGATTTGATGAATCATACTTTTTCAAGGTGCTTGACGATGTCCATACTTTCTGTTTGTGTCTCAATGTGTTTTCAGTCTCAGAACCCTAACATTATCATGTGGTATCAGTGTTGAATCAAAAACTTGTCTTATACGGCCTCTGTCTTTGAATGTGGCAGAGCGGAGGTGCATGTATGTGTAATATGGTCTTAACTTTTGGATCACTTTTGGTTGCATCATAAGGCAGGGATAAGAATTCACATTTTATTTCAGCAGAGCCATAGGAGGTCTGTCTAGTAAAGATGGTTATTTACAGATATCTTTTTCCAATTGTATTTTTTACTCTCCCTTGATATTGATAACTTATGCTTATTTTCTATAATCGCATGTTTTGCCACACTAATACAGCACTGTTGTAGATAGAGGACATGGTGGTTGATGGTGCCCAGAGTCATCAACAGCTAGAGAGCAGAAATCTTGCAACTAATGTTGTATGTTTATACCGCCTAAATGTCACTGTTTACATCTCTCTGGGATAATGCCCAATTCATGTTATGCGATGTCATGAATACTCCATTGTCTCACTATGTAACACATTAAAGAACTGACGCCTTCTCGCACATGAGCTGGCTGGGTAGAGCCTGAAAACAAAGCCTTCTACCCCCCTAATTCATGGAGTCTCACAAGGTTTTTTTTTTTTCAAAGTGATAACTGTATGAGGCATGTAACGCCTGCTTTTCTGGTCATGCAGTGGTGATAGAGAGAAAAGCTTTCCTAGCCTTGTGATTGAAAGGTCAGCTGTCATGTCCTGAAAACTGTTCATGTGGTGCCTGAAATGCACAGCTCCAGCATCTTCAATATGTTGATTTAATGGTCTTGAGTAGTATTCTAGTCATGGATTTCTTCAGAGCAGGCTCTTGGATAGATCTGACTTACTAAAAAGCATCACACTCATGCCCACAGAGGACTTTCAATGAGTTAACAATGCTGACAACTTTAAGAATCGGCTATCTTATTTTTAACTCTTCAATATACTGTATATCAATTGTGTTATGTTACCAATGGCTCAGATTATCCTTTTCATAGCCTCTGTAGCTTTGGACAGCCTACACGTATTGCTGCAAATAGACACAGAGGTACAGTGCAGCAGATTTCTGCGAGTGTCTGTGCGTGATAAAGACGCAGCAGGGGGTGACAATGCCTATCTGAGCCACAAATTATGTGATTATGAGTAAACAGAACACTAATAACAGGCCAAGGAATATGTTTACTCCATGTTTACATTCCAGTGATGCATGAAAAGAATTGGGTAAATGCACTTAACAAGTTAAGCCTGGTGTATTTTTCCACATACCAAGCATCCACTAGGAGGTACAGAGCCTGTGTCATATGGAGACGTCTACCAAGTGGTCCCAAGATCATGTTAATGTCCCTGCCAGGCATAATTATTAAATTAATGCAGCCAGCTGTAGGCTACATTGCATACATTTGTCTTGTACAATTTATATTTAATTCTGATGACTCCCCAGACATTTTCTAATATTTTATGAACCTTTTTGCATCCCATGCTTACTCTACTTTTTTACTGTCACTCATATGTGTGAATGGTCTGGAGTGCAGCATCCGTTGGATCATTGACAGTCCAAATAAAGAGGTTCAGTTCTTTTGCAACTTCACTTGTGGTTTGTGTTTGTGTCTGTTTACTTTGTCGCACATCGGACACGCCTTTTAGCAGCTGCTAAAAGTCAGCTGGGAGTTATTTTTATTGCTCTCATTTGTCATGTTACAGCCTTCTCTTATTATGTCCCGACATTCCTGGAGAAATTACTACAATTACTTTTTACTTCCGGGTTGCGCGCTATCAGCAGTTCATTTATCAAGCTAATGTGAGCTAGCCGCCTTTTTGTTAACGTCATTAGTTTATTTAAGAAGAAACCGGAGCTCTTTCGTCTGGAAACTTCACAACAACAACTCAGGTATGCTCGTATTTTGTCTCACTATTAAAAAAGCTAGAAATAAGTTCACATAAACACAACTTTCCTCCCACAGCAGAGTACGATACCCAAGTTAGCAACTAGCTAGCTGCCCTGCTAACTTAGCCTCCCGAACATAAACAGCTGCTTGCTAACGAGTTTAGCTCGGAAGCTAACGTAAATGTTAATCGCTTGATATTTTTTACTGTAAAGGGTGATTTAAATCGTGAATATGCCTGAAGAAGTTGACACTTCGCAAGTATTTAATGTTAGCTAGCGTTAGCTTGAGAGGTAGTGGAAAAAGTTGGGGAATTTCTGTTTGTAATCGACCGTCCACTTTCTCTTTATAGTAGTTGACGTTATTTGTGGGAGGACAGAGCCACATCCCTGATACCGAGTGTTCATGCTCTTTTCATGGCAAAAACAAGATAATGGTTTGACACAAGAGTTGGATTAATAAAAGAGGGAATTTAAGCTGATCAGCGCTGTAATGTTAGTTTCCTGTCAACTTGATCTTTCTTTTAAATCACAGTCAAAACCGCCTCATAACTTCACTGCCTTCCGGGTAGCCTATGGGTTTGTCACCAGCGTATGTTTAGCCATAATATTATGAATTCAACATAACTTATATGCATGTTAGAAGAAGCTTTAAATTGTAGGAAGAGCATCATAAGTCATGGTGCTTTCATGTAGATGTGGATGGTTTAACTAGTAAACATATCTGTGTACCTGTTTGTCAGTTTCAGGCAGGATATACAAAGTATTAAAGAGTTGAATTGATTGTGCTGACAGCTAAAATAAGGTAACAATGCAGGCAACTTTACAGCACAGACAGCTTCCTCCTAGAGCCAGGGGCCACAGTGGTGGGATTAATCAAAGCTTGGCCTGTGCTGGCTTTAGTGTTTGCTTCCTTTAAGTCCTTTAGTTGCTTCATGTGCCTTGAATTCAATGTATACTGATGAGTGTGAACTCTTCCCATCTTATAGATCGACTCAAAAGTATCCACACATTGAAAACACCTCCTAGATGTAATGCTATGCAATTCAACGACACCAAAAATGGCTTCCGAAATGACCATAAAGTTGAATCAAGTAGAGCTGAAATAATTGTTTTTTTTAGCTGATAAACAGGAAATTAATCTCCAACTATTTTGATATAAGATTGATCATCTAAGTAATTTTTCATAGCAGAAATGACACAGATGAACTGGGCACAGCTTTTCAAATGTATCTTCAGAAGTTTTCATAGTCTTCTCTGTTTTTTAAATTGGATATGTTAAGGTTTGGATGGCAACAAGGGCTTTGGGGAATTGTGATGGATATTTTTTACTGTTTTCTTGACCTAAAATTAATGTATTAAGTGGGGAAAATAGTCCACAGATTAAATGCTGATGACAGTAAGTGTCAGCTGCAGCCGTAAAATTAACATCTCTAAAGCGGGTTAAACAAAAAGTGAACATAATGACCTTCACAAAGGCAAAATTTGGAGCAGGGCTGTCAGGTTAGATTGTATCAGTTTTATATAATATGAAAATAAATTATCTTAAAAAGTTGACCGCAGGCTTTAAACTGAACTCTTTTTTTGTTTTGCAGGTCATTTTTACTCCATAAAGCCACAATGCATGGACGATGATAGTGACGTCTCAAACAAGGGATGTGGATGGGAAAGTCAACACCAAAAGCTAATTTCAATTACACGTCATCCCTTGACAGCTCCCTGAAGAGGCCTCACTGTTGCTTTTTCACCACATAATCCATCATGTCATTACCAAAGGAGTCAGGGAACCGAGGGAAAGATCGAGAGAGGGGGGCCCGTCCCAAGGTGAGACAGAGCCGCTCAGAGGAGAGGCGAGATGCAGGCAGTGGACGGAAAGGTGGAAAGGGGAAGAAAAAAGGCCTTGCTTCCCAGGATCCAGCAGCTGAGAGGCCCGTCAGTGATGGCTTTGAGTATGGTGAGTTGTTGAGTGACCTCGAGACAAGGGACCAATCTTCCTCCTCTCCCCTGAAGGAGACTTGGAGATGGCAGGGCTTGGAAGCCGCTGCCTCATTACTAGGACAAGAGCGAGTAATAGCCAAGCCAGGACTGGGAACAGTTAGCTCTGGTACAGAGTCACCTGCATCCAGTGATGGCGAGGGCAGAGGGTCAAGCAGCAGTCGCACTCTCCGGCAAAAAATCCAAGATGCAATGGGGCAGTGTTTCCCAATAAAGACACACAGTGCGGCGACACCAGCGCCATCTCCACAGGCTCTTTCGTCATCCACTGCTTGTGCCTCCTCGAGGCGCAAGATCCATCTCAGTGAGCTGATGTTGGATGACTGCCCTTTCCCTGTAGGATCAGAGCTGGCTCAGAAGTGGTATCTCATTAAGCAACACACGGCCCCCATTACCCAGCCTCCCATTCTTGATTCTGCAGTAGTGTGTAGCGCCCCTACTCCAGCAATGGCCACCGTGGTGGAGGACGTTGATGACAGGTTGCGAGAGCGCAGGCGCATCAGTATCGAACAAGGTGTTGAGCCACCACCCAATGCAGAGATCCACACATTCGAGGTGACGGCCCAAATTAACCCTCTCTACAAGCACGGCCCGAAGCTGGCTCATGGTATGAATGAGTTATCCGGGGCTGACAGAGCCTCCGCTCATCAACAACAGCAGCTTCTCCTCCAAAGACAGCAGCAGCACCAGCTCCTTCTACAGAGCTGTTTGGACACTCTGGATGAAGTGGTGGCCTCAGCATCAGCCTCTGTCCACACCGGTGATATCATCCCCGACACTCTGGTTGACCCAGAGGTTACAGCGACCAACGTGCCCTCTAGAGCCGTAGTTCCTCCGACTGAGCATCCCAAATCTCACGACGGCTACCGCATCCACACTCAGATTGATTACATTCACTGTTTAGTTCCAGACCTGCTGCAGATCACCAACCTCCCGTGTTACTGGGGGGTGATGGACCGCTACGAGGCAGAGACGCTGCTGGAGGGAAAGCCCGAAGGCACCTTCCTTCTACGTGACTCCGCCCAGGAGGACTACCTCTTCTCAGTTAGCTTCCGCCGCTACTGCCGCTCGCTACATGCACGCATTGAACAGTGGAACCACAACTTTAGCTTCGACGTGCACGACCCCAGTGTCTTCCATGCGCCCACGGTGACGGGACTGCTGGAGCACTACAAGGACCCCAACTCCTGTATGTTCTTCGAGCCCCTGCTGTCTAACCCCATCCATCGCACACAGCCCTTCTCCCTGCAGCACATCTGCCGAGCAGTCATAAGCAGCTGCACCACCTATGATGGCATTAACATGCTTCCCATTCCAAATGCTTTGAAAAAGCACCTGAAAGAATACCACTATAAGCAGAGAGTACGTGTACGGCGAATGGACACCTGGTGGGAATGAAGGACAACAAAAAAATACAGACTAAAATTGACTACTACATACAGTTTTAACACTCACTGAACTGAACAATGAGTCTTGTTCCTCACTCCAACTGGTTGTATTAACCTACACTACAATGTACTTATTTATTTTATTCCTGCTGTACACGTCTTAACACTAAACAACACTGATGAGACATTATGTAATCTCACTGATCTTGCACACTCAAAGTTCTTTATGCTCAAATTAAACAAACTTATTTAGATCTGTGGTGTTCAGAGAACTACCCTCACTCAGCCTCTGTGTTTTCAAGTGTGACTAAATCAGCTTAATTATCTGACGATGGGGGAAAGTGTCCTAGTGTGAATCAAGATGATTATAATAGAGATGTTCATCAGTCACGTGCTGAGAAGGTGGAGTACATACTGACAAGGTTTTTCTCCGTGCTACTGAGGTGTGGGAGTGCAGCACGTATGCAGAATAAATCATTGTTTCCCACATGATCCCACAGTTCATTAAAAGGGGTGAGAGGTAGGCATATATGCTGCTTGTTATTACTGAAAAGTAGAAGCTTGCTCTAAAATAGATAATTGTCACACATTGAAAGTACAATTACGTGCACATCAGTTTCCGGTGGTGGTGTTAGATGTAGGGAAACATGCAAATGATGATTTTGCACAACTGGCATTAAATGAATCATATGCTCAGATTCTGCAGCTGCTTTGTTTTCACGTTACATGATGTCACCTCCTGCAGTTTCTCCTTTGAGGTTAAAACACATGCAGACAGTGCCAGCGGTCTTCTTACTTTAAAAGTAAAGGATCAAGTGTGGCCTTCATGACCTTCTCAGCAGTAGGTGAAGCAGCTGTATTAGAATACAAATGATAAAGCCCAGATGTTTATGGATATTATTTCACTCAAAATCTGACTGTTGCATTGCCCATTTCCAAATGTAGTCATTCAGTCAGTCCAGAGGTTTGGTCAGGTCTTTTTGAATTAGCATTTAATTATTGTGTAAAAACCCAGATCCTTAAAGAAGAAAAAGATTTCCGTTGCTGTATTTCCTGCTGTGCATTTCCTGCTGTGTATTTTAAAGAGGTGGGGAGTCGACACACTAATCTTCCATTCCAGCAGTTCATTGACGAAATTACCACAGTGAATTAGCGCTGATGAATCTTAATTAACAAAGAGAATGATGGGAGAAATTATGTGTTTTGAACATTTTTCCGGATCTTGACATTAAGTCAGTTACGGAGACAAAAAATCTACAAGCTCTGCGAAGAGGGAATCAATCTGAAGCTAAAAACCTAAAGGCACTGAGGAGAGGTAAAGCTCAAAATACAACCTAAGTCAAGATGAAATTCTTACAGTTCAGCAAAATATGAAAAATAAATCAGCTAAAAATATATGTCAGACTCCCATTTCACAGTCTCACCAATAGACTGCACTTTCTTGGGCCATATGTGTCATGTTGAGCAAATACAAAGATAAAATATGCATTTTTTATATTTAAATACTAAAATGTACACCTTTTTAGAACCATGCTATCTGTGGACATTGCCAAAGTCATATCAATCTATTAAATGGCAGAAATATCTGCATATTTGATCGTACAGATACAACACAATGTCACCACAACAACAGAAAGAAAGTAAAGGGCATTTCATGCTAGACTGCCTTTCCTTTGCCCTTTTATCTGCGACTTATTCAAAGATTAATTACTAAATTTACCTATGCAGCAGAGTCATTTACTGCTGTGTGTGTGAACAGCATTTTGCATTAATAAAAAACACACAAGAGAGACCACACCGCTAATTGTTGTGTGCACGAAGTAATAATCACAAAAGACAACCATCCCGGTGTTAATGGGGGAAAGCATGGAGAATGGATCCCTGATCATCTTCTGAAGCACTGCGATGCTGTTTTCTCCTTGAGATGGGCGATTTGATATGCAGAATGCAAATCATCCATGACAAGCACTCATCCACTAATGAAGCAGCTATAATTTAAACAGCGCTTCCAAGGCAGCATTAAAGTCTGCATTCGAAATGCAAAGTCAGGACCTTTGACCTTTGTATACCTAATTAAGTCACTTTAAAAACTGAACTATAAAAACCAGATTTTCTGTTTTGAAAGACATTTGACCTGTCGCGCATACACAAGTGAGGTCTGCACTGTGAAGCCTCGACACGAGCTATTTCAGACCCTTGACAGCTCAAGGCTTTTGTCTTTTATTCCCCAGCACAAGGCTCTGCAATCTGGTATGCCTGGCAGATAAGATCCAATAAGTGTGTCTGTGTCTGGACCACATTTTAAGACTTTAAACTCTTGATTCTACAAGTCCCATAGTTTCCAATACTTTCCCTAAAAAGGAGCAAACATATTCATCTGGAATTTTTTGTGTGATTTGGCACTTCCACTGAGCAATTTACAGTTATTTGCCAGTGTAGGTTGCAGAGTTTCAGAGCACAGCAGGTCATCTGGACATGCAAAAATGTTATATTTTTTCAGGGGGAAGTGTACAATTTGATGTGTCCAATTATGAATAATTAATGTACATATATTACATTGTGTATAACTAGCATTCCTCTGCAAATCCTCAGCTGCTTTTAAACTTGATGCAACTACCTAACCTGTCGGATTCTGTGCTTCTGTTTGCCCTGTGCCTAGGACTAAAGTACAAATGTCTCTCCAGGAAATATCCTAGGTTGTAATTAGGAAATTACACACTTGTAAGATAAAGCTTCATCAATTTAATATGCAGCCATAATTATGCACATTATATCTACATAACACCACGTACAGATAAATAGTTTTTCCATACAATACAGGGTATCCACTCGTGCGGTATTACATAATGCACAGCAGGTGGCTGCAAAGAGCTTCAGTGTGTTCTACCCCGGCTGTTCTCAGGCCTGTGTGTTCTCCGTGTGTGGTGCATTGAGATGGTGGGATTGAGTGTGGCTGCTGCAGCTGGCAGCACTGTGGCACTCATCAAGCAGGTATTACAGGTCCTGGGGGGGGGGAGAGAAGAGGACTTTTCTTTGCCTGGATCAGCGGGCCCAGAGGGACCGCATGCTCAAGCAAAGCAGAAAGCTGATTGGCTACACATACTTAGTGTGTTTGTGCCTGTTTGGGCCTCTTTTTTCCCTTTCCTTCCATTGAGGGAAGAGCTTTTACGCTGAGCTTAATCTCTACAGTCGAGCATCACGGGGGTGGAGAATAAGATTGGAATGTGCAGAACACCTGGGGACAGTTACTTACCCAAATAATCTGCTGAACATAATCTAACAATTGCCCTAAAAGGGCTCCGTGTGGCACAGACTTGGCTTATTTGACTGAAAATGTGCACAGCGAGTGACTCTTTTTTGTAGGTCTATGCTTTTTGCTGCTGTATCTAGAGCTATATAGATTGTGAACTAAACTACCATGAGATGCAGCATGTATCTAGGCCATTAATTCAGAAGAGGGTGCATCAAACTGATTTCAGATTTTTGCATGATGCATAAGGCTAAACACGATTCTTTTCCACCCAGAGAGCGGGAATACATTTCTGTGACAGGAAACACTGCAGCCGAAAGAGAGAAAGAGAGAGGGAGGTATTTTTGGTCAGCAAATGAATCCAGTTAAATTTCAACCTTGAACATGAATAGGAACATTTTTTGCCTATTTTGAGTCACACCTTTTCAAACAGAGCACCTCATGTCAAAACCAAGTAAGTAATTCCAGAGTTATTAAAGTTTCAGTTCTTAAAAGTCTCACAATTCCCCCCCTAGGAGGTACATTGTCACACAGTGACACGCTTACGTTTGATGTTTGTTTCCCTAGAAGCAAGCCTTTGACAACACAATATTTCCTTTCCTTCCTATTTAAAATCCAAATGCACTCCCGTTCTCTCAGGCATGCGGGAACTCACGTGAGGCCTTTGCAACAGAAAAAACAGCAGTATTCTAATTTGGAGCTGCTTGTGTTTGTCCTGCACACGCTCTTGCTGCCTCTGTATGTTGCTCTGCTCTGCTCTGACAGGTTGTTGATAGAATAATGGGGGTGTTGGGCATGCTACAATGTGGATACTACACAGATTGATGGGATTGCAGTGTAAATTACACACAGCAGCCCATATCCTAGGCTTTAACCCATGAAGTCATTAACCAGCAGCCTGGAAATAATAAAGTGATACACCATGGACAGATGAAGATATGTGGTTGTATATGAAGCTTTGCAAATTAACATGTCCTACAATTTGATGTCAGAATGGAGGTGTGTATCGTAATGTGTTTGCACAAATGGACTGTAATGGATCTACAGATAACACAGATATAATTATAGATAAGCATTGTTTATGTGAGGAGAACAGTTAATTATAATAACCCTTCACAATGACGACTAAAAAGGCCCATGCATCATTGATAAAAGGCAGGGGAAAATGTGTAATTGCAGAAATGATATATCGAATTGCATAACTCCTGCTCTCTGTGACTAATTATGCTCTCGCATGATAGTTGCAATGACCAGTGTGTTACAACAGAAAAGTACAAATGAGAAAGGAATGTGGAGACCTTGCCAGCATTAGCAAGAGTCATTCCTCACAACGGGCACCTTTTAAACCCAGTGATACTTTAAAGTTGTCGTTGTCAGTTCTTTTACGTTTTTGTCACAGAGTGGATTCATTTCATTTGCAGGGGAACATGTTGGTGGAGCTCAGGCAATGCAGTTATCTGTAATCAAATCACACAAACCAGAACTTGAATCAGCTCTGTGGTCTGCTAGTTGTTTGATGACCTGCCTTTGTACCTTATTAAAGTGAGTGCATTTTATTTGGTAACGTTGTTGTTGTGTGTGTGTGTGTGTGTGTGTGTGTGTGTATGTCTCATTATTGTAATTACACATGTGACATGTCAAAATGTTACAGCGGGAAGATGTTTAAAAGTGTTTTATTCACTTAACTCTTCTTTTTCACATTTTTGCTACATCTGCTACATTTTTCCTTATTTAGCATGTCTAACTGTTTTCAGAGCGAAATGTCAATCATGACATTGTGTGATCTGTACCTGTAACTGCAAAATTGGATTGGTTTGGTCTCTAATATGACAATATGTAGGCCTACCTAACATACACACATAACACACACACTACAAGGAACATAGATACCAAAAACGTACTTCAACACCATTGCAGGTCTTATTCATCCTTGGCACCTTTCTGCACCATGCAGGAGTATGCACTGCATAAATCTATCACACCTTTGTGCAAACAGATGTTGCCAAGAACAAATGAGGATTTGGTGGTGGTTGAATTAGAAAATGGCTCAGCTTTTGTTTGTGCCTCTTGCATAATTTTACAACTTAATTTTTTACATTAATGACTACAGTTGAATTCCATAGATGTGTAGCAGTTGGCTATGCAATTGTTTTTCTTTGAGATACATGGCCAGTCTTGTAGAGATCTCAGACCTCTAGCTCGCTCAAAGACTTTCCTATCGCTCTGAAATTAAAATAATGTAATTCTTCTTGTATGTCCAGTAATGTCAGCTGGAAGTAAGGAGGTTTCCTCCAGGTTGGGAGTGGGTTACTCCCCCAAACAAAGGAGTTCAAGTATCTCAGGGTCTTGTTCATGAGTGAGGGTAGAATGGAGCATGAGATGGATTGGCGGTTTGGCGCAGCTCAGCCCTCTCCATCTACCTCCCAACCCTCACCTATGGTCATGAGCTCTGGGTAATGACCGTAAGAATGAGGTCGCGGATACAATCGGCCAAAATGAGTGGCCTCAGAAGGGTGGCTGGGCTCAGCCTTAGAGATAGGGTGAGGAGCTCGGACATCTGGAGGGAGCTCAGAGTAGAGCCACTGCTCCTCCACATCGAAAGGGGTCAGTTGAGGTGGTTCGGGCATCTGATCAGGATGCCTCCTGGGCGCCTCCCGCTGGAGGTGTTCCGGGCACGTCCCACTGGTAGGAGGCCACGGGACAGACCCAGAACACACTGGAGGGATTACATATCTTGTCTGGTCTGGGAACACCTTGGGATGTCCCAGGAGGAGCTGGAAAGTGTTGCTGGGGAGAGGGACGTCTAGAATGCTTTGCTCGGCCTGCTGCCCCCCTGACTTGATTTCAGATAAGCGGTTGAAAATGGATGGATGGACATATGATAGGAGGGGTTGAAAGTTTTGAGCATTAAACATTTAATTTCCTGTACCTATTTGTGCATGTTCTGCATCAATGTATGGTCTAAATGTGTTTAATTTTGTCCAAATAAATATCCTCTGCTACTTCCATATTTTTACCGGGCGGAACAAATGCACATGATGTAAGTACTGAGGGGCACGTGTCCCCTGCACGTCCCCCTGAAATCTACACCTATGGCCACCTTGCACATTTTGTAAAGCAAAAAATATTTTAAGACATTATTTTACATGAAGTACTACAAGGAATAGATATGACAAAATTGATTCAGTTAGGTATAACAATAAAAAATGCTGCTTAGGTGATGCAGGAAGGTGAGCAGTCATCTTGTAATTGGACTTCCTGCTGCCATCTTTGTTTGGAGAAACAGTAAACAAACGCTTTTACACATCCCAGGGGATATTGTTGCACCAACTCTATGGGGGCTTCTAGAAACATCTTCCTAAAAAGCGGTAGGTGTTTTAAGTGTTGTCTTAAGGTTTTGAAATTTCAGGTTGTGCTTACCTGCATGTCTTGAGCTAATTACGCATGCAAGTGTCACGTGCGACCTTAAAAGCGGTACTTAACGTCAGCTGCGTGAGCAAGAGGAGTTTAAATCGCAGCTACCGACTAAATATTACAACTTTTATTTTGTTAAGAGGACACCGGAAGCAAGGAGAGACACAACGGGACACCTGTTGTTAGTGAGGAGCAGCAGATCAGCTCCATGTGACAGAGCAGCAAAGAGACTTTCCTCTGGTTTTACTGCAAAGTCTGTCCTCCCCTGAGAATAATGGACTGGATTGTTAGATAAACGCCACACTTTTATAGACATGCACTATGGAGAAGGCAATACTAATGCCTCTCAGAGAGGAAAAACAATCAGCACAAACAGAGGTGCTCGCAAAGCTGCACAGCACACAGGATGGACAATTTATATAATGGGACACTGAGGAAGATGTGCTACTGCATATGATGAGATGAACCACTTAGACCCTGCAGAATTCACAGGACAAAGTGAGTAATTATTTAAAACATACCTTGCATCACTGCGCTGTGTGCTGATTGTATTCTGTTTATTAGGTATTCAGCGTGTATGTGTGTGAGGCTTGTGCAGCAGTTTGCTTTGGTTTGTTGATCAACATCATAGTTGTGGTTATTGATTGCAGAGCGAGGTCACATCTTGGGTTTAGTTCAGTTTGTCTGGGTTATGGATTTTTGTTTGTACTCTTGGTTGTTGTTAGTATACATCTGCCTTATACTAAAGCTGTGTGTGCTGTTGGCTGTTGTTTAGACTGGTATAAAATATGATCGCATGTGTAAAATTAAGCACCACCATCCAAATATGCACACTGGTAGTGCAAAAAGAAAACCACACCTCTTTTGTGCCATTAATGGAAGCTATGGTGACAAACAGCAGACATGACAGGTGAATGTCAGCGGTGCTTTTAAATGTAGATTGCCTGTGTTAACTGTCTGCTTCCTCAGTGCCTGTGGTTGCTTTAGGCAAAGTTTTTACTTCAAAGTAGGCCCCATTCTGTTAGGCGTGAGACATGAGTGACACATGTTGGGGAGTGAGCTTGCAGGAGACTGCAGGGGAGAAAGAAGTGGGGGTCTTATAATGTATTTCTGCCTCAGAGCAGAAGGCCTGGCTTTAACCATACTGCTAGTAGCTGATACGTCTAGCATGTCAAGTTGTTTTCCTATTAGTGATTGATGTATTTTTGCAACGCACGTGTCACTCGGTGGATAGTTTTTTTTTACCCCTCTGTGTTCCAGTTAATATATTACCGAAGCTTACTCAATCAAACCTGGAAAAAAGCAGCATAACATCCCAGCCTGCTGAGTAAACTGATTTAGGAGAAAAATTTGCAGACTCAACTACTTTTAGTTTCAGTAAAGTGAAAAAGACTACAGATGCACAGGAAAGGTAATGGCTGTGGAAACTCTGTAGATAGACATTAGATGGTTCTGTAATACGCACATGGATTTCAAGGCTCAACAACTCTTTGTTTACAGACTACAGTAACACAGCAAAATGGGTCCTCTTCAAATTTGACAACATGGATATGTAGATCAGGGTACTTCCAATTAATTATATTCACTGGGCATAGCAGGTGTGAAATAGTCTCTAATTGTTTCTACAATGGAAACCAGCAGGAACCTGGCACTGGGGTCTCAAATCACTCATTCAGCATGACTGATTTTCTCATCTACTAAAGGTGAAGTTTTGCATCGGTGGATATTTATCAAAATGTAGTGTACATGCCACGGACAACAACAATGGGAAATCACTTAGCTGAGTAGTTAGAGCACAAATCTTTAATCTATAGTGGCAGGGTGTCACTCGGATGTCTCAGTCCTCTTATTACAAGAGCAGAAAGAGCCAAGATCCCACCCCACTTCTGTATTAGTTTGTGTTCTACTAGCCTCCATTGCACAAGTTTCTTTAATCCATCTTCCTGAAAAAAGCTAAGATGATTTGGGGGTTTTGAGTCCATAAAGGCCTCTTTCACTGAAGACATTTTTACGTCACACTTGGAAAAAACAAGTATAAATGATAAAATTAATGATGGCTGAATTCCATTTAGTGGGATACCTGAAATGGACTTCTTAACAACATATTATGTGGTGGTAGGCATGAAATGTGTTAAAATTAAGTGCCGGCGACATAGTTTTATTGTGAAATGGTCATGGTTTAGTTAGGTTCAGAGAACAAAAAAACCACACTTGGTTAAGTTTAAGATAAGATCGTGATTTTGGTTAAAATAACTTTGTACGGGATGTAAGTAACAAACTTGCGTACTTCGTGCTATTACGTTATATTCACATTGTCACGCAACTACACTCACCGGCCACTTTATAAGGTACACCTGTTCAACTGATAGCTTATCACGTGGCAGCAACTCAGTGCATTTAAGCATATGTAGACATGGTCAAGATGAGCTGCTGAAGTTCAAACTGAGCATCAGAATGGGGAAGAAAGGTGATTTAAGTGACTTTGAATGTGGTATGGTTGTTAGTGCCAGACGGGCTGGTCTGAGTATTTCAGAAACTGCTGATCCACTGGGATTTTCACACACAACCATCTCTAGGGTTTACAGAGGATGGTCCCAAAAAGAGAAAATATCCAGTGAGCAGCAGTTCTCTGGGTGAAAATGCCTTGTTGATGCCAGAGGTCAGAGGAGAATGGCCAGACTGGTTCAACGTGATAGAAAGGCAACAGTAACTCAAATAACCACTTGTTACAACCAAGGTCTGCAGAAGACCATCTCTGAACCAACAACACGTCGAACCTTGAAGCAGATGGGCTACAGCAGCAGAAGACCACACCAGGTGCCACTCCTGTCAGCTAACAACAGGAAACTGAGGCAACAGATCGCACAGGCTCACCAAAATTGAACAATAGAAGATTGGAGAAACGTTGCCTGGTCTGATGAGTCTTGATTTCTGCTGCAACATTCAGATGGTAGGGTCAGAATTTGGTGTAAACAACATGAAAGCATGGATCCATCCTGCCTTGTACCAACAGTTCAGGCTGGTGGTGGTGGTGGTGGTGTAATGATGTGGGGGATATTTTCTTGGCATACTTTGGGCCCTTTAGTACCAACTGAGCATGGTTCAAACACCACAGCCTACCTGAATATTGTTGCTGACTGTGTCCAT